GAAAACTCTTCAAGGTCTTGGGGAGGCTCAGGATGAGAGGTGATCCAATCTGATGGAGAATGCAAGGTAATGGGTCCAAAGAGATCACTGGCTGGTTGGAAGTCTTCGTTCATCAAACACCACTCTGCAGCATCAACCTTCTCCTACTGGGACACAAGCACTGGGTTCTTTGAGATGAGAGCTGTTCTAAGTGTCTGTTCCGAGTGCCATACCATTTTCATAATGACAGGTCTCTTCCATTCACAACATGTTTTAGATAGAGCTTTCATCCTTCCTTTGAATGGGTCAAACAGCAGTTCTACCATGAGGCTCACAAGAACAGGCATGTCAGGGCCTGGTCTGGAAGGTGTTGTGCGGGGGTGCCTTCACCCCGCACCCTGCCTGGCCTGGGTAACACCAGTCCGCCTGCCTACCACAGTGGCCCCTGTGCACTTCTCCTCATTGTGATTTTAATTTGCATCTCTCTGAAGATTAGTGACGCTGAGCCTTTTTTCATATGTCGCTTGGCCATTTGTATGTCCTCTTTGAAGACGTGTCTATTGGGTCCTCAGCCCATTTTTTAATTGGATTGTTTGTCTTCCTTTTGTTGAGTTTTATGAGTACTTTATGTATCTTGGAAATTAACTCCTTATCTGATGTATCATTGGTAAACATGTTCTCCCATTCAATGGGTTTCCTTTTCATTTTGATGCTTGTTTCTTTTGCTGTGCAGAAGCTTTTTATTTTTATGTAGTCCCATTTGTTAATTTTTTCCTTTGTTTCTTTTGCCCTAGCTTCTGTATCAGTGACAATTCTGCTGCCTGAAATGTCTGATATTTGGCTGCCTATGATATCTTCCAGGATTATTATGGTTTCACATCTTACATTTAAGAATTTTATCCATTTTTTTAGTTTATTCTTGTGTATGATATAGTTGGTGGTATACTTTCTTGGATGTTTTTTTTTTTTACATGTCCAATTATCCCAATTATTGAAGAGATTGTCTTTACTCCATTGTATGCTCTTGCCTCCTTTGTCAAATATTAATTGAGCATAACAGCTTGGGTTGATTGCTGGGTTCTCTGTTCTGTTCCATGGATCTACTAGTATATGCCTATTCTTGTGCCAGTACCAGGATGTTTTGATTACAGTGGCTTTGTAGTATAGTTTGATATTGGATATTGTGATCTCTCCAACTTTGTTCTTCTTTCTCAAGATTGCTATGGCTATCCAGGGTCTTTTTAGGTTCCATATGAGTTTTTGGAGTATTCTAGATCTGTGGAATATGCCTTTGGTATAGTGTCTTCATATGGTTTTGGTTAGAAGTGTTCCTCCCTCTTGGATCTTTTGGAATAGATTGAGGAGGATAGATGTTAGTTCTTCTTTGAATATTTGATAAAATTCCCTTGTGAAGTTGCCTGGGCCAGGGCTTTTGTTTCCTGTATTTTTATTACTGCTTCAATTTCATCAGTTGTTATCAGCCTATTCAGGTTTTCTGATTCTTCCTAATTCAGTTTTGGATTTCAGATTATATTTTTCTAGGAATTTGTTCATTTCATCCAAGTCATCCACTTTGTTTGCTTATAGCTGTTCAAAGTATTTTCTTACAACAATTTGTATTTCTGTGGTGTCAGTTGTTACTTCACCTCTTTAGTTTCTGATTGTATTTATTTGGGTCATCTCTCTTTGTTTCTTTTTTCTTTTTTTAATCCTCACCCAAGGATATTTTTCCATTGATTTCTAGAGAGAGAGAGCGAGAGAGAGAGAGAGAGAGAGAGCGAGAGAGAGACCTGCATGCACTCCTACTGGGGCTGGGGAACTTGCAACCGAGGTACATGCCCTTGACCAGGAATCAAACCTGGGACTCTTTGGTTCACAGGCCGACCACTCTATCCACTGAGCCAAACTGGCCAGGGCTCTCTTTGTTTCTTGATGAGTCTGGCTAAAGGTTCATCAATCTTGTTTATCTTTTCAAAGAACCAGCTCTTGGTTTCATTTATCTTTTGTATTTTTTTTAAGTCTCTATGTCATTTATTTCCACTCTGATCTTTATTATTTCCTTCTTTCTACTTGCTCTGGGATTTTCTTGTTCTCTTTCTAATTCTTTAAGATGTAGGGTTAAATAGTTTATTAGAAATTTTTTTTTGTCTCTTGAGATAGGCCTATAGTGCTATGAACTTCCCTCTCAGGACTGCTTTTGCTGTGTCCTATAGATTTTGGGTTGTTGTGTGTTCATTTTAATTTGTTTCCAGGAAGTGTTTTTATTTCTTCATTGATCTCATTGGTAACCCATTCATTGTTTAATAACTTTCTATTTAGCTTCCATGTGTTTGAATGTTTTGGGGTGTTGTTATTGTAGTTGATTTCTAGTTTCATGCCATTGTGACCTGAGCAGATGCTTGATATGATTTAAATCTTCTTGAACTTGTAGAGACTTAGTTTGTGTCCTAACATGTGGTCTATCTTTGAGGATGTCCCATGTGTACTTGAGAAGAATGTATATTCTGTAGCTCTGGTTGAAATGTTCTGTAAATGTCAATTAAATCCATTTGATCTAGTGTGTCATTTAGTGTCCCTGTTTCCTTGTTGATATTTTGTATGGAAGATCCATCCAGTGATGTCAGGGGTGTTCAAGTCCCTTACTATGATTGCTGTCAATCTCTCCCTTAAAGTACTCCAGAAGTCTTTTATTTGTTTCTTTGTTTTGTTGTTGTTGTTAATCCTCACCTAAGAATATTTTTCCATTGATTTTTTTTTTTAGAGAGAAAGTGGAAGGGAGGGGGAAAGACCGAGAGAAAAACATCAATGTGAGAGAGACACATCAATCGGTTGTCTCTCACACATGCCCCAACTGGGGCCAGGAATTGAGCCTGTAACTGAGGAACATGCCTTTGACCAGAATCAAATCCAGGACCCTTCAGTCCAAGGGCTGACACTCTATCCACTGATCCAAACTGGCTAAGGCCAGAAGTTTTTAAAATATATTTGGGTGCTCCTATATTAGATGCATATACGTTTACTAGGGTTATATCCTCTTATTGTATCAGTCCCTTTAGTATTAGGAAGTGGCCTTCATTGTCTTTTGTTCTGGCTTTCATTTTGAAGTCTATTTTGTCAGATGAGCATTGCTACCTCAGCTTTTTTTCCATTTCCATGGAAAATTTTTTCCATCCCTTCACTTTCATCCTATGTGAGTCTTTTGTTCTGGGGTGGGTCTCTTGTAGACAACGTATATATGGGTGACAAAGCTAGTAAAGCAATTGGCAGGTAATATGTTTTCTTATCCATTCAGCTACCCTATGTCTTTTGATTGGAGCAGTTAAGCCATTTACATTTAAGGCTATTATTGATAGGTATTTATTTGTTGCCGCTTTTATTCTTTATGCCTGTGCTCCTCTCTCTCTTCTTACAACAGTCCCTTTAGCATTTCTTGCAGCGCTGGTTTGGTGGTAATAAACTTCTTCAGCCTTTTTTTTTTTTCTATGAAGCTCTTTATTTCACCTTCAATTTTGAATTATAGCCTTGCTAGATAGAGTAGTCTTGGATTCAGTCCCTTGCTTTTCATTACTTTGTATACTCATGACACTGCCTTCTGGCTTGAAGTGTTTCTATTGAGAAATCAGCTGGAAGTCTAATGGGAGCTCCTTGTAGGTAACTTTCTGTCTCTCTCTTGCATCCTTTAATATTTTTTCTTTGTCTGTAACATTTTTTTTTAATATATTTTATTGATTTTTCACAGAGAGGAAAGGAGAGAGATAGAGAGAGCTAGAAACATCGATGAGAGAGAAACATCGATCAGCTGCCTCCTGCACATCCCCCACCGGGGATGTGCCCGCAACCCAGGTACATGCCCTTGACCGGAATCGAACCCGGGACCTCCCAGTCCGCAGGCCGACGCTCTATCCACTGAGCCAAACCGGTTTCGGCATGTCTGTAACATTTGGCATTTTATTTATGATGGGTCTTGGTGTGGGTCATTTTGGGTTCATCTTGATTGGGACACTCTGTGTTTCTTGGACTTGTGTGACTTTTTCCTTTACCAGGTCAGGGAAGTTTTTCTGTCATTATTTCTTCCAACAGGTTCTCTATTCCTTGCTCAGATTCTTCCAGCACCCCTATGATGTGGATGTTGTTACATAGTATGTTGTCCCAAAGCTTCCTTCAACTCTCCTCCTGCTTCTTAATTTTTCTTCCAATTGCTGCTCTAAATGGGTGTTTTTTTCTATCCTGTCTTCTAATTCGCTGATTCAATCCTCAGCTTCTTCCAGTCTACTGTTGATTCCATCCAGGGTATTTTTTATTTCAGCTATGTCATTTTTCATTTCTGATTGATTCTTATTGAAGGTCCATGCATCCAGGTGGGCCATGTGTCAAGATGGCTGGGTAGGATGTGCACGCTGCTTGTCAAGGCAGCAGGGTTGGCCCTAAAATGTGAATATTAATAGGGCTTACCCATAGAGTTGTCATGAAGGTTAAGGAGAAAAATACAAGTACATAGTAAGCACTTCATTAATATCAGTTATTATTATTATGCCTGAGGCAGCCTGCCAATTGCTTTGCTAGCTTTGTCACACAATCATCAAAACAATCATAGGCAAATAAGGGAATAGAGGATCAGAGATGGTGCCTGCCATACCAAAGATTGCACAAAATTCAGAAACTCGGCCATCTAACTCCAAAAATGGAGAGCTCAATCACCGAAAGCTCTAGCACCTCCTCCCACCCCACCCTCAAGGAATGTCCAAATACAGGAAGGTTAAGTGAACAGAACAGTCCTAGGGGAGAGTGTCCTATAAAACTTTGTGGGTGGTGGGTATAGGGGAGAAGGCTGAATTTAGGGATTAGATGGTAAATTGTGATGGGGTGGAGATGGGGGCAGCAGTGTGCCAATCATAAGCCCTCTGAAGATCACTACTTTCTGTGGACAATGAAGTGAACAAACTACCCTAAGTCTGCAGTGGTGCCCTAGACCTGGGAATGGTGTTCTGGCCCCTTCAAAGTCCTTTCTTCCCTCCCCTTAGACACGTGTCCCAAAATCAAAGTACATTGTGATACGAACGAAATAAACCAATGTCTAAAGAGCAGACAATGCCCAGAGAAGATGAAGTGTTGCAACTTTAACTGTGCAAGGAAATGTTTAAACCTCAAACAAGGTAACTCAGAAATCCTCTGAACTATCCAATGCCTCCACACCCTACCCCTAATCTCTGCCCACCTACACTGACATTACTAGACCACTTCCCTGGTTCACTGATGGCTGGTGTCTGATCAAGAGTGTGGGTGCATCTTTTAATTAATACAAATCCTGGATTTGGAAGCAGGGGGTGTTGGGAGTCATGGGTTTTATTTCTTTTCTGTTCATATTTAGGTATGTGATGTGGGTAATGGAGTTTTTCCTTTATGGGACTTAGTTTCCCATCTGTAAGAAAGATGGGAGGGGGGAAGTGGGCATTAGATCACATTGTCTCTTGGCTGCTTTTCTGTGATCCTCTGAGATGCCAAATAGCCAGTGAAGTCCCATCAAATGCCAACAGAGAGCCAGGTGATAGAATAGTTATGACACAGGTATATAATTTTTATTTCCTGGTTGTGCTTTTTCTAGGCCTCTTTGTCTATATAAATCCAAAATGCCTTCCCTAACCACCTTTGTCCTCCTTCACTCTTTCCTCTCTGCTCATATAATTGAACTCTAAAGAAGACCATCAAGGAGTACTCATGCATTCATTCATTTTACAAATATTTACTGGTTCCCCTGACACCAATGATAGGCTCCACTTGCTCAGTGTAGCCAGGGAACTCAGTAAAGTTTTTCCAGGTAAAAAGATCCACAATTTAAGACCTGTGAGGTCTTAAATGATACGGTTCTGAAAAAAACAACACAAAAAACCCTCTCTTTATTCCCCTTAGCACTATGTACAAAACATGTGCTCTATAAATGTTTTTTGAAGTTCAGGATACATTTGATTTTTAAAAATATTTTTAATTGATTTTTAGAAAGAGGAAGGGAGAGAGAGGGAAACATTGATATGAGAGTGAAACATGGATTGGCTATGCCCTGTATGCCCCCTACTGGGGATCAGCTTGCAACCCAGAATGTGTCCTGATCAGGAATGAACCAGTGACTTTTCAGTGCAGAGGACGATGCCCAACCAACAGAGCCACATTGGCGATTTTATTTTTATTCATTCATTCATTCATTCATTCATTCATTCATTCATTCGTTGTGTGTGTGTGTGTGTGTGTGTGTGTGTGTGTGTGTGTGTGTGTGTGTTTTACTGTGAACATTCCTGAAGCATCCACTCAGTGCCTAATTATCTTAAAGGAACTGGTGTACCAAGATGACATAAGGCACAAATCTCACATTCTCATGGAGGAGTCAGAAAATACAAACAAATAATTACATAGAAGTGGCAAATGTGTGTGCAAGACTGAGAAGCAATACAGAAAAGCAAGGAGTGAAGCATGGAGCCGGGAAAGGCAGCATAGAAGTGTGTGATGACTGAGAAGTGTTTGAATAATGAAAAGGGATGTACCTGGTGGGCAAGAGAGAGGTGGACACTCCAGGCATGTGCAAAGGCATGGAGGCGTGTAAGAGGCCACTCCTCCATGACTTTGCACATGTCTGAAATGTTCTCTAGGGAGGCAGGCACCCAAACTGCTCTACTCTGCAATCTCCTTGCAGACATATGCAGTTTGCCAAAGGTAGTTGGCCCCTGCCTGGCCTTCTTTCCACGCTGGTGGTATGATAAGGAAACTCAGGCATGCTCCAAATTCATCTATGGTGGTTGCCTAGGGAACGATAACAACTTCCAATCTGAATCTATCTGCAAGACCATCTGCAAAAAAAAGAAAGTAAGTCCCACGGGTCCCATTTCCCATGCTCACCTGGGCTACCCTGGGAGATCTGGGTGTTGGCTGGTCTGTTCTAGGAACTTGGCAGGTTTGGGGCTGATATAACCAATTCAATCAGGAAATAAGAATGCACCTTTGAAGGGGTAAGTGGAAGAAAAAGAGGGTGGGAAGGGAAGCAGTGGTCAAAGTTGGCAAGTATGACATGAATAGAGGGTACATAGAAAGCTGAAGTGGTGAAGGGTCTGAGACCAAGTCAGAAGAAGGCCCAGTAAATAAGCGGCACCATGAATCAGACAGTCACTCCAGGACATTACTTCTCACCAAACCGCATCAACAATTCTCTTCCCTTTCCTTCTTAAGCTGATTATAGCTAGGACAACCACATGCTACATTGATGACATGAAGATACTTTTGAGAGCAAAAGGAAATACCATTAATTATGTTATTGGGAAAACGGACATAAACTGGGACTTTAATGGAAAACCAGAACATGTGATCACTCTCTGAGCCCCTGAAGTCACTCCACTTCTGTTTCCTCTTCCTGTGAAAAGATGCCAAATGATCTTATCTCAAACACTTCCACACCTTTCTTCTCTCTTTCTCAGGCATATATCTTATCTCTGTTTCTCCTAAATGCTAAGGATCCTGGCGAGACTTGCAACCAGGGGAGCAGCGGGCAGTGGCAGCGCATCCCGGGCTCATCCCCTGAACCTGTCTTCAAGGCTCCCTTTTCTCTGACTTTATAATGAGCTAACAGAAGCCCCACCTAGGCTCACTTCTGTCACTGATATTTACTTCTCAGTGAGTACACACTGGCCTGCATGGCTCACTTCTTTCCTGTTATGTTTCTATAGAGCCAAAGCAGGACACCACTTAGCTATCTCCTGCTGCTTCTTCTACCCTAAGCCCTTCATTTGTTTCACCTTCCCCAGAATTAATAAACATACTCTAAAAATCACACACACACACACACACACACACACACACGCAGATCTTACCTCTCTTTTTCCATTAACTGCAAGACTTAGTTCATATGGGGATTAAAGTCCAAGTATCTCACCCTTTTCTTTTCTGCTATCTCACAGGGTCGTGGTCTTGGGTAGGATAACCTAAGCTGAAACCACCTCCAGAATTTGGCTCATAATACAGCTCTCTCCATGTGTGCTTGACTGATATCCCATATTGGTTTTTGCTGGCCAAGTCTCCATTGCCAAGACCTTGGCTGTTCCAAACACCAATCCCCAGGATTTGTTTATTCCTGCAGCTCAGCTTCTCTTCAAATATAATGCCCATCGCCCTTTGACCCTGTATCTTCAACTCTCGGGCCCCCATTTATCCGTTGGAAGCCTCCAGTTTTCCCTAATAAAGTGCTCCGTGAGGTCTGATATCTCTGAGGCTGAATAATTCACATTTGCTCCCTGGTGCAGTTTTTGGAAAAGAGGTCATTGGATCTCCTGGGGACATCAAAAGAGGGAGAGAGGAGTACAAAAATCCTGCAAATTGAGAACTCTGGTGACACTGTTTCCTGATAAAATTGTCATAAGATGCTTAAGAATGGAACCAGAGCCGATTCATGTTTTGTATGGTCTAAAGCTTATAAAGTTAGGGGGTTCATTTCATAAACAAATACAAATTAAAAAGTGAATATTCTTCAAATGAGAAAGAAAATGGCAACCAATTGCAAATTTTAAAAAGCTAACAAATACCAGATGTTGCATAAGATCTATATAGATTAATTATTAAGTTTTTACATATATGACAGCAATTCTACAAAACTCAATTTCTGTGGAAAGATAATTCAGTCTTTTGTTGAACATGGTTGAACAAAAATTATTATACTTTTATTTTGGTTGTAGTTGGGATGCATACAATAGAAGCATGAATGCACAGCCATACTTGATATTTGTGTCCTAAAAACACAGGAATTTAAATTCTCTTTTGCACAATTCCATCAAGAAGCCTAGTTGGGACAGGGTAGGGTGCAGGACTGCTTCTCTCAGGACCTCAGTTTTCTAACCATGAGTTGAAGGTGGTGGACTAGTGTCAAAGAATACTTCTAAATTTGAGAAGATAAGGCAGCTCAGGAGCCCTGGCCAATTTGATAAGCACCTGGGGCTTTTCCAACCCATTGGTGCTTCTCAATCCTTGCTTGGGGTTGAAGTACATGAGTGACTGGAACAGAATCATCCGTCCTAGGGGCTCATGAACCAGAGGGGTCCTTGGAAATAGCCAGAGTGTGCCCTGTAGTAGGTAGTATCTGCTCACCTGCTGAGAATGAGCCCAGAGCCCTTGTGACTGAGTACAGGGAACTCCATGCCTTATTAAGACCTCAGTGAAAGATGCTGCATGTCTTTGTTAATTGTTTGTTCATTTCTCTGCCCATTAAAACCTAGGGAACACCTCGAGTGGAATCTTTTGGTGTTATTCATGGTGCCATGCAGACCTGAGATCCCCCTCATCTTCCTCTCCTTTTTAGTCTCACCTCAAAGCTTCCTGCAGAGCCAGAAATGCCCAGAGGAAGCTGTGGACGGTTTGAAAATTCAGGAAATGTCCAAGCTGAGGATATTAGAGAGCCCCACCGGCCCAAATAACCCTCCTTGTTTTTTTATACATGTACAAATGGAAGCTTCTAGTAGGAAATAGACATCCAAGATACACAGCAAATCAACAGCAAAACTGGAGCTAAAATCCAGGTTTGAGTGTAACAAGGTGTTGCCAGATCCCACAGCCTTGTTGGAAATCAGGGTGGATATAATGGCTACTTGTCACTTTGTTGTTTTAATATTCAGCATCTCTTTTTTTCATTTTTTTTAAATTCTTTTTAAAAAAATCTTTATTGTTTAAAGTATTACATATGTCCCCTTCCCCTGCCCCCCAGTATTCAGCATCTTAATGCCATTCCTACAGTTGAAGAATTCCCTACCATGGGGAGTTTTTGTGTAAAGTAACACCAGTGTTCCATTATGAAAGTTGAAAGGCCAGACTCTCACTCTATTGGTTGGGTTTAGTAATGGACACAGAAACCATACTCAGTATTTCAAGAGAAAATGTAATACTGAGATTTGGTTACATGATTATTGGGAGGATCTGGGCATTGGAAAGAACTGGAGCTTGTGTAGGAATCAGAGAGAACATTTTCTCCAAAATAACAGGATAAAGTGAGACTAGTTCCATGAATAATAGAAAAGGCTTTGGGCTTGGGCATCTGGATTCTAATGCTGGCCCAGCCATTAATTTCTAGGGGACAATAAGCAAGTCATTCTTCTCTCTGGGACCCAGTTACCATACTTGCACCATTGGGAAAGAACAAACGAAGGACCTTCCTCACATCACTGGGGCACTTCCTTGGCTTTCATCCTTACTGGCCCCAGTGATGTTCAAAATATATCAGTGGTGTTAGTGATGGGAAAAGTGTGGACCTGTGCCCAGCAATAGGTGATCCAGTAAAGCACTGTAGACCACACACGTTCCAGGAAGACCTGGGAGTCCAAGCCCTTGTGCTATGTCTGCCTCTCATCAGGAGAGCGGCACTCTAGGGCAATAACATATCAGGAAGGGAGAACTGAGTCAATATAACTGTTATTGAGACCTGGGTTTTGTGTTGGAAGGACAGTTTCCTCTCTAATTTAACAAGTACTGCTATATGAACTGCTGTAAGATATCTCAAACAACTTGAGCAAGTCTTCTGAGGAAGATGGGCAAACATCATAGAATCTTTTAAATTCATTGTTTGCCATTGAGCAGGTCAAGGATTTTTTTCTGTAGCCAAATCATCTAAGTGGCTGACCAATACCAGTGCATTAAAAACTCAGAGATAGAGTCTTTAAAAAACTGAATTAAAATAAAATGAAAGGTCTCAAGGTGACTCTGATATAAGTTCAGGACTACTGGTCTAAAACTCTTCTGATTTAATATCACACTTCTGATTTATATAATTTCCTTGGGTCTTGGTGTCCTCATCTATGAAATATGCAAAACAATAAAACCAGTGTCATAGAGTTTTTAACAAGCACACAAGATGAGTTATGTAAAATGTGCATAACATACTGCCTTGGATGTTAATGTTCCATAAACAATAAAGATTAGTATTATTGCCCTAACCAGTTTGGCTCAGTGGATAGAGCATCGGCCTGCAGACTGAAAGGTCCCAGGTTCGATTCTGGTCAAGGGCATGTACCTTGGTTGCGGGCACATCCCAGTGGGAGGTGTGCAGGAGGCAGCTGATCCATGTTTCTCTTTCATCGATGTTTCTAACTCTCTATCCTTCTCCCTTCCTTTCTGTAAAAAATCAATAAAATATATATATTTTTTAAAAGATTAGTATTATTATTAGAACAAACACAGTAAAAAAAGGTAGGCACCCCTTTATGATATCAGCTACTCAGATGCAAACCTTGTAGGGTCACAGCTTCCAGAAAAGGGGTCAACCTGGAGCTTCCCACTGTGAACAGTTTCCATGTCCTGTGAATAAAGCTCCAGGCTCCTGGGTTCATAGACCCTTTCTCCCTCCTCTATTTATATTCAAGCTCTTTGGCATAGAGTGCTAATAATTATCTTCTGTAAAAATTCCACTTGGATTTCAGAAGATATAAATTAACTCTCCTCTTAAAGTAATCAACCTTATTTTGCTCCCTACACATTTATTTTGCATATAAATAAGGTAAAAAAATAGAAATAAACTTTCTTAGTACGTGTATGCTTATAATAAATGTATTTGTTATATGTATAAGCAAGTCCTCTCTCTAAGTCCCTGTTCTCCTGTTCTGTAAGATGAAGATGATGATAATATCTCTCCCAAGGACTTTTTTAGAAGAGTGTAATGAGAAAAGGCAGAGAATCCTCTGACATATTGTTGGTGTTGAAGTGATGTCAGTTTCCTTCTCCCTTCTAGAAAAGATAAAGGTTTTGTGGAGTTTAGAATCTGACTGGGAAAACTTTATTCTTTCACAATCCCACCCACATTTACTTCCCCATCTCTACGCCACCCAAATCAATGGCTCTCAATCAAAAGTAATTTCATTCTTTACACACATATATGGTTGACATAGGGTTTGTAAGACTCCTATGATGAGTACAAGTGCTAAATAACTAGCAAGAGCCTCCTGCTAGTTTCTCGAGTGTGCTTTTAATAAATCTTACACTTGTCCTCCATGTTCTGGAATGTTAGTAACCTTACCACCCAAATCACCTGAGGAAGAGCCAAGATGAGATGAGGCCAAAGATCCCCCAGGGCAACCCAGGTACAGAGTGGTTTTCAAAGGCCAGTACCTCCCACTCCACCCACAAGGCCTGTTCAGCCAAATAAGTACATCAAATACATCAAATAAGTACAGGCACATCTCATCAAGCACTGCCCTCACTGCATGGAGTCCTTATCACACTGCTCATGTTGGAAATATTTTTATAATTAAAAAACACTTATACCCATAACTCTTCTGCAGGGTTTCTAACTGTGGCACTATTGACGTTTGGGGGCAGCTCTTTCTTTGTTGAGGGGCTATCCTGTGCATTGCAGGATGGTTAGGTTAGCAGCATCACTGGCCTCTGCCAGTAGGCGCCCCCATCCCCCGCAAGTTGTGACAATCGGAAATGTCTCTAAGACATTGCCAAGTGTCCTGGGGGCTAGAATCGCCTCCTCCCCGGATGAAAATTGCTCTTCTGAATTGTGTTTTAAACGGTCAGTTTTCACTTCCTGGTCAGCTGCTCTAGAAGAGGGAGCAATGTGGGAGGCCTCTTCCAAGAGCACCGGTAGGCAGCCCTGCCTTTCCTCTGTTGGAATGGCAACTGCCAGTCTGTTCGCTCCCTGGGGACCTCCTTCTGCCATTATTTTGGTTTCTGACTAACAGATTTGATAATCCAAGAGAGCTAAGGAAAGAGACAAGAATAATAGTAGTGGACCCAATAAAGTGCAAAAAAGGATGTATCACCGAGATGTTGAAATGCAGGCTTTTAGAGGAGTCTTAAGAAAATAAAGGCAGAGGAAGCAGTGAAGGTGAGCAGGCCATAAGAGGGTTGACCCACCATTATGTGAACTATAGTTTGGAGAAGCAATGTCCAAGGAATGAGTATCATCATGGCTGCAGGGGATTTAAAGAGAAAGAAGGAAGAGTTACCACTAATATGCAAGGATGGGTAACACATTTCTATAGATAACAAGTATGGTTCTAACCTAGTTTGCACTCCCATTTCCAAAGATTATCATACACACACACATCTGCAAATGGCATGTGTCTGTGTGTGCATTTATAATATATGAAGCATTTGTATATCTATTGAACACTTGTGCAGTTCTCGGAAGTATGCTAAACCAGTATCATTAATCTCAATGTATAGATGATAAACTGAGGCTCGGAGAGATCATATGACTTGCCCAAGGTCAAGAGCACCTGAACTCAAAAGCACAACCTTAGACTTCATATCCCACACTCACTATATCCCACCAAAGCATGCCAGCTTTGCCTTTTAAAAAATCAGATCTCTAGAGCAGGGGTCCTCAAACTATGGCCCGCGGGCCACATGCAAATACAAATATTGTATTTGTTCCCGTTTTGCTTTTTTACTTCAAAATAAGATATGTGCAGTGTGCATAGGAATTTGTTCATAGTTTGTTTTTTTTTTTAACTATAGTCCGGCCCTCCAACGGTCTGAGGGACAGTGAACTGGCCCCCTGTTTAAAAAGTTTGAGGACTCCTGGTCTAGAGTCTAGAGGATCTGGGAAAGGAAGAGGGTGGGAATGTGCTGGTTCCTGGCAATTGAGGTGTGTCTATAGACAGATGATTCTCTTAACCAGACAAAGTTGGCCCCTTCTACACCACAATGTTGCTCTCATAATTCCCTGGGAGACTTCAGGTGAGAGGGAGGAAGCAACTAAAACCATGCTTAGCACATTAAGTGTTTGATGAATGAATGAATAATACAAGGGCATTGGAGCTGGACAAACGAGGATCCCAATCCTGGCTTTGAAACTCACTATCCATGTGACAATGGTCAATGAACTTTAACCTCTCTTCGTGTACAAATTGGGGGTTCTAAGCCTTGTAGGAATCCTGTGTGGGTTCAAGGGAGGTGATATGTGAAGAGTAGTTTCTATGATGCTTGGGAAGGTAAATGCACTCAATAAATGGTACTTATTGTTTTATTATTGTTACAGCAGCTTCCACCCTGAAGTGTAATAACGTGGCCTTGGATAGAGGCCAAAGATCAGATAAGGTCAAAGAAAAAAGTCAGAGATGTGCTTTGGCTGGACACTCTGTCCCAGGGCTAGCCCAAACTCGTGATTAACAAGAGTTAGGGGTGAGTGAGCTGAATGTGGAGCCAGACTTCTCCCGATTGGTCCCCTTTCTCCCTAAAATGCCAACCCCAGGCTGGGCCACTGGCTGGGTGGCACCATGCAGCTCCGGATCGCTCTTCCATTTCTTCTATTTCTCACCTTCAGCCAAGAGTTTCAATCGGAAGCAGGAACAGGTTGGTATGGAAGTGGGAGCTCCAAGAATAGATTGGGACTAGGGGGGGGCGAGGGGGGAGGGGCGGCAGTACAAAGAGAGTCTGTTCTTTATCTCATAACGTAGGGAGTCAATTCAATTCACTTCATCAAATATACATGTTGGGTGCATGCAGTGTGCCAAGTACTGTGCTAGGTGCTAAGGCTAAAGTAATGAGTGAAGCAAAAATCCTGCCTTTGTGGAATTTATATTCCAGTGGGAGGGAGACAGACAATACATAATACACGTAATAGATGATAAACGTGCTATAGAGAAGAGAAAACCTAGAACTGGGCAAAGGGTGAGATCCCTGCTCTCAAGAGTCCTCTTGGTCAAGGAAGGAAAAGAATGATTGAGAGCAGCCACTATTTACTGGTGCTCTTCTATTTATCAATGCTGTCCATAGGTTATCTCTAAGCCTTTGGTGCGTCTAAAGTGTGAATATTACACCCCCATTTTACAGGAAGGAATCTGAGTGCCAAAGATATAGGTGATTTGTCTAAGATCACACAGCTAGAAATTTGAATAAACTTTGAATCCCACTCTCGGATTCTAAGTCAGTCCTTTCATACAGGGTATCTATTCTAAAGAATGATGAGGAGACAGGAGGTGGAAGCCTGGGAGAGCTTACTCATCAAATCCTAGAAAATCAGATCTGAAAGGATGCTCAGAGATGATGGAATTCAACTCCCTAATTTTAAAAATGAAGAAATGAAGATTTGGAGAAGTTGATACGGTTATCCCACAGTAATAAGTGGATTTGAATCCACTAGAACAGGATTCTCAAGTCTGGGGTTTTTAGCACAGCGGTCTACTTCCAGAAATGAAAAACCTCAATTTCTGTAGAGATGGATAAGGCCATTGCTGTGTGGGCCAGATGAGCTGGATGGGAAGAGGTACAGAGCTCAGTTGCTGTGTATAGCCTCACAGTTGTGCCCATGGCCATCCTAGCCCCTGGCATATGAGCATATGGGCCAACAAGGGAAAGGTTTTGATAAGTTTTGCTGATCTCAACCAGTTTCTCTATTTAGGCCAATCGACTCACCATCAGAATCACCAACCGAGTGTCTCCCCAGAAGATTGCAAACTTCCAATGGAAAAGGGCCCTTGTCGAGCCAAACTCCCACGGTGGTTTTACAACTCATCAACTTATGGATGTATGCTGTTTCACTTCGGAGGCTGCAATGGCAATGGGAACAACTTTTTGAAGAAAGATGCATGTGAGAAAACGTGCAAGAACATCTGATTTCCTCATAAGAGCACAGTATTCCCTGGAGTCAGGATTGCTCTATGGCAATAAAAGGTGTTTTTGTGAACATGAGATGCATTTCTCCACACCAAATTTATAGTCCTTGTTGTGTTCTTAAAACTACTCACCTCTGTGCCTGAACTTCTATAAATATGCACGTGATCAGCCAGAAGTGGGCACCTGGACAGGGGGGCCAGGGCTTGTGATCAGCTGGAAGCTGGCACATGAACAGGAGGTTGGGGGCACTGATCAGCAGGAAGGGGCACCAAGACGGGGGGGCGGGGGGGGGGGGGCTCCTGATCAGCCAGAAGCAGGCAGGTGAACAAGGGGGTGGAGGCAGGTGATTATGCCAGAGATGTCAGGAGAGGATGGAGGAAGGACCAAATGACTCCCGCCCCCCGACCCCCCAGTCCCCAGGGCTCCTCGGCAGTGACAGTGCAGTGGGCACACCAGGGCAGGCTGTTTGGTTGGAAGTGCAGGTAACTTGGCTCAGGGACTCCTCCTCTTGCCGAGCCCCAGACTGTAGGATGATGCAGGGTATTCCAAAGCCCCGCCCTTGCCTCCCGCCTTTCCCTTGAATCCAGCCTGGGGCTCCCCTTCCTGAAGCACCTGGGTTGACAGGAGCCAGCAACTGTGTTGTCCTGCCCAGATTCTAGATGCCAAAACTGAGGCTCAGAGAGGGGAGCAGAGGTCCCTAACCTTAGCCACCTACCCCTCAACTCAGCCCAGACAACAGGGGGTTCCACCAGCTGCCAAAAGGGTGGGGTAACATAATCAGGTGGAAATGGAACCTGAATAAGGGGGCAGGGGCAAGTGAGCAGTGGGCACATGAAGGGGGGGGGGACGGGGGCGGGGGGGACAGGGCCATGTGGGCAGCCGGAAGTGCACATGTGAACACAGTGTGGCTTATGTTAGGACGGAGGAGGAGGCACATGAGGATGGAGGAGAGGCCACATGAAGATGAGGGGAGATGGAAGGGATGGGGCCAGGAGCAAAGGAGCACCAGGAGCCCCCAGAAGCTGACCAGGCAGGAAGGACCCTGCCCGGGAGCCCTCTGAGGGAGCACAGCCCTGGACGCCCTGATTTCAGATTCTGGCACCCAGGTGGGGAGAGCACTGGTTCCTGTTGGCTTTGACTGGGTTCTGGGAACAGCTGAGCCCTGTGCTCTGAGGCAGGGGAGACCCCTCCCGCCCAGCCCTCACTGCAGGGCTCACAGGGAGATCCATCCCTGTGTCTGTGCCTCGGCCCTGTCTCCTGCTCCCTGAGGCTCCTCCGCAGTGACAGTGCGGTGGGCATAGTAGGCAGGCTGCTTGGTGGGAGGCTGCTTGGTGGGAGGCTGCTAGGTGGGAGGCTGCTTGGTGGGAAGCGCAGGCCACGTGGCTCAGGGACACCCCCCCCCCCCCCCCCCCGACCTTGCCCAGGCCCTGGGCTGTAGGATGATGCAGGGCACTCCTCAGCCCCGCCCTTATCTTCCTCCCAGGCCTTCCTCTAAGGCAGCGGTTCTCAACCTGTGGGTCACGACCCTTTTGGGGGTTGAACGACCCTTTCACAGGGGTCGCCTAAGACCATCGGAAAACACATATATAATTACATATTGTTTTTGTGATTAATCACTATGCTTTAATTATATTCAAGTTGTAACAATGAAATTGGGGGGCACCACAACGTGAGGAACTGTATGAAAGGGTCGCGGCATCAGGAAGGTGGAGAACCACTGCTCTAAGGAGTCCTGCCTGGGCCAGGGTTTCCTGAAGCTCCTGGGTTGACAGGAACCCACAACTGGGTTGCCATGCCCATATTCGAGATGCCAGGACTGAGGCTCAGAGAGGGGGAGCAGAGGTCCCTACCACCAGCCCACCTCCCCCTCAACTCAGCCCAGCTCCTACGTGGCTTCCCCAGCTGCCTTGCAGTTGCCATGGTGTGTCGGAGGAGGAGGAGGAGGAGGAGGAGGAGGAGATTGAGGAGATTTCTGAGAAGCAATCCCAAAACACACACCAGCTGGCCCCTCCTTCCTTACACCCTCTCTCCAATGTCATGCATTCATTTGTGCAGCTGGGCCGGGGCCTCTTCCTAGCCAGGAGCAAAGGAGGTCAAGAAGGCAGAGGGTCCAGGGAGTGGGTTCTGGGACCCCAACCTCACCCAGCAGATTTCCTGGACCTGGGCTCCCACAGTTCCCAGACCAGGCGGGCTCCCTGCCTTCACCCATGCAGTTCCCGCCCTCTGGAATGCCCTTCCTCAGCCTTCAGGTCCCAGCCGGCTGCTTTAACTCCACTGGAGAACCTTCCCTGAGTCCCTTGGGGCTCCCCCTGCATCCTGCACCCACCGCGGTCACAGCCTTTTTCTTGATGATGCTCTCACGGGGCAGTGAGGTCCTGGGGATGCTAGCTTTGCCTTTGGACCCCAGCGCCTGGCACAGACAGGTGCTCAGTAAAGCCAGAAGGAAGGGAAGGAGGGAGGGAGGGTAGAGGGGGGAAGAAGGGAGGGAGGGAGGGAGGGAAGGGAGCAAAGAAACACCTCTCACAGGATTGGAGAGGATCTGGACCGTGAGCACCTGGCACAGGCCTGGGCACGGAGCAAAGCCCACCAGCTTCCTGCCGCCTCCACTTGAGCCTGGGCTCCAGCACCTGCTGCCTCATCCCCTTTGGAGCCGGCTCAGAGGCCGTCTCCATGCCCACAGGCCTGAGTCTGTTGCCCACTGGAGGCAAGGTGCCCTCTTATTTCTGAGTGGAGCGCCTGGCAGGATGTCCCTGCAGCATGTGGAGGGAAGAGCAGAGGGCTCCCATCCTAGAGGCTGCGTACCAGTCCTGGCCACCACGTCCCAGCTTGTGCCCTGCAGGGGTCTCTGGTAATACAGCCACAGTTACAAATGCACAGAGGGCCCTGGCGCCTCCTGGGTTTGTGAAAATGGGCACCACACACATCAGCTGCAGAGACCGTCCTGATTCCCAATCCAGCTCTGCTCCATCCCAGCCGAGGGAAGCGCCCAGGCCTGGTTCTGACCTGTGAAATGGGACCCTTGCTGCCTCCCAGTGGGCAAAGGCTGCGTGGCAGGGTGACTCTTACTTTCTTGCAGTAACAGGAATTGGCCAGCAGAGGGCAACAGCCCCTGCCGCCTCCCAAGGCAGGCAGCAGGGCTGGGCAGAACCACACCTGGTTCCCCTTCAGAAGGGGGAAGGGGGAGGCTGAAGGATGGCTTTGGTGCCAGGTGGGTATCCAGCTGCCCTGTGAGGCCTGTTCTGCCTACCACCGTGCAGACGGGTCTTCTCTGGTGGCCGCACTGCGCAGGCGGAGCCCTCCAGGAGCTGGACGTCAGCACAGACTCGGGGCTCTGGGCATTTCCTCCGGGGAGAGGGGAGGCGGGGTGTGGGGGCAGAGTGCCCACCTGGTGTCTGCACCCCTCTGCTTAAGGGGGTCAACCCCCCCCGACCCCTCCCAGACTGATTTGAGGACCCTGGGGCTGCAGGCAGGACCTGGGGAACTGGTGACCGGCTGGGGCTCGGGCTCAGCAAGTCCCTGGAGGTGCAGGGGGTGCCCAGGGGATGAGAGATGCTGCCACGGAGGTGGGGAGGCATCGGGGACTTGGACCAGGAGGCGCTGGGGCAGAGCCACGTCTCACAGAGCGAATGCAGGAAGTCTGCTGGTTTGCAGACCCCGAATCAATTTCATGTCGAGGCAAAACAAAATCTGCCGAGAGAGGCAGGCGGCGTAAGCCAGACCGGGAAAGATAATGGTACTTTGTAATCTAAGCCACAGAGGGCGAGGGGAGGCGGGATGTTCTCCACGCAAGGCCCTCGCCCCAATGCAGCGGGACTCGGCCAAGATTTCCAGCTGGGAGGGACCTTGGGACAAAGAGAGCAGCCACCCAGGAGCACTGGTGCCATGACAGGACCCCTGTCTGCTAGGGGTGGAAAGGGGGGTGGGGGGAAGGATGAAGCCCATCAGAGCAAATGGCCGCAGGGTGAAGGGCCGCTTACCCAGAGGTCACAGGTCAAGGAGACAGAGGCTCTGGGCGGCAGAGGGGTCTATTTTCAGCTCCGTCCTTTTACTGCTGTGCACCCTCCAAGGAGAAGCCACTCGCCCTCTCTGTGCCGCAGTAGCTTCACCTGTACAAGGGGCAGGAGACCAGGGTGGCGGGCCCACGTGATCAGCTGGAAGTGCGCAGGTGAACACAGGTTGGTGTTACGTTAGGACGGAGTAGGAGGCACCTGAAGATGGAGGAGTCACGTGAGGATGGAGGAGAGGCCACGTGAAGGCGAGGGGAGATTGAAGGGATGGGGCAGGAGCACCAGGAGCCCCCAGAAGCTGACCAGGCAGGAAGGACCCTGCCTGGAGCCCTCCGAGGGAGCACAGCCCTAAACGCCCTGATTTCAGATTCTGGCACCCAGGTGGGGAGAGCACTGGTTCCTGTAGGTTTAGGCCAGTCTGTAGTCATCCGAGCAGCAGCCTCAGGAAATTTACACCCCCTTGTCCCTCCTTTTGCGGCGTGACCTGGTTCTGGGGACTGCAGTGGCTCACAGGGAGATCCATCCCTGTGTCTGTGCCTCGGCCCTGTCTCCCTCTCCCCCAACCTGTGGGAGCCCCTCGGCAGTGACAGTGCAGTGGGCACACCAGGGCAGGCTGCTTGGTGGGAAATGCAGGTAACTTGGCTCAGGGACTCCTCCCCTTGCCGAGCCCCAGGCTGTAGGATGACAAGGGGTACTCCAAAGCCCGCCCTTACCTCCCAGGTCTTTCCTCTATTGAGTCCCCATGGGGCTCCCCTTCCTAAAGCACCTGCGTTGACATGAGCCAGCAACTGGGTTTTAGTGCCCAGATTCTAGATGCCAAAACTGAGGCTCAGAGAGGGGAGCAGAGGTTTCTGGCCTTGGCCTATGTCCCCGTCAACTCAGCCCAGCTCACAGGTGGCTCCACGTGCTGCCACGGGGGCGTGGCCACATGATCGGGTGGAAGTGGGCACCTGAACCAGGGGGCAGGGGCATGTGTACAGGGGGGTGGGGCTTCTGATTAGCTGATAGTGGTCACAGCCGGAACTGGGCTCATGAAATGGACGC